GAGTTCAGAGGATTAAAGTAAAACCTGTTGAGGTTCAGTCAGAACCAGCAGAAAGACAGAAGGTCCAGTCTGACTCTGTTCACCAACAGAAGCAGAATTCTGACGCGTGATAAAAACGTTTCCAACTGAGAGCCTCCAGAAACAGAACTTAAAGTGAATTCATAGATCGGCTGAGTTTGTTGATCTGATGTTTTGACTGTCTTATGAGGACTCTCCAGCTTTGTTCTGATCTGTGGTTCTGCTGCAGGTTTACAGGAACTCAGAGCAGCAGCTTAAGTTCTGCTGAATCTCCAACCCGACGTCCAGAAACGTCTCCTTGTGTTCAACATGGAGACGTAGCGTCGGAGCAGCTGCAGGTCCTCAGACGTTATCTGCTGCAGACCGACCCACAACAGATACCAGGCTGTTGTGGACACAAAGCTGCTGTTGTGTTTCTACACAGTCTGAACCTGCCGAGGACAAAACACTGCGACCTTCAGATCCACGATGGATGACGGAGGTTCTGAGCTCTGATCACTGTTCAGGGAAATCTCAGGACCCAAACAGAACCTCAGCAGTTTATACGACAGCAAACAAAAAGCAACACAAGACGAGAAATGAGAAAAACACAAACGAGACACAAAACAACACAAAACAAAGAAACAGGAAGAAGACACACAACGACACACGGGACACAAACACACAGAGCGACAGGACGGAGACGTCTGGACGCTCGCTGAGGTCCATCAGCTCAAACTAAGACGTTGTGTTGGGTTCTGGTTGTTGGGTTCTGGTTGTTGGGTTCGGGTTAGTGAGGCTGTCATGTGATTGACTGTGATCGGACTCAAACCTTTTTCATCCAGAGACTAGAACTCAGAGCCAGAACCAAAGTTCTGTTTGTGTGTCTGAAGCTACGACTCCCATGATGCTCTGCTGCTGTTGTCATGGAGACGCTTTGGCCCGAAATGCATCCTGGGAGTCGTAGTTCACACGGACCAGCTGTTTAGGTCTTGATGACAGAACCGACCAAGAGAGAACCAGAACCTGGCCGAGCCCAGCATCATACTCACATGACTTCCTGTTGAGTCGGGAGCGTTTGCGTGTCTTGGGGCTGGAGGCCCGGTCCGATGGGTTCTGGGTAACAGACTTCACCAGCCGGTCCATGATCTCATCGGTGGCGTCGTCCTGAGGACTCGAGCCGTCTTCTCTGGCTGCTCCCATCTGAGACGGACTGACCCGGCCCAGAGCTGTGGACCAGAACCAGGACAGCAATCAGGACCAGAATGATAACCAGAACAAGAACATCTAACAGAACCAGGACATTGAACAGAAAGAGAACCAGAGGACCAGAACCAGAGATCCAGACGGACCTGACGTTTGGTTTCACATGTGACGGTTTGTTCTGCAGTCATATGATCAGTGGCAGCAGCCAATCAGAGAGGACCGTGTGTGTCATCATTTCTAAACTTTTCCGTCCAGATTAAACCTTCTAAATGGAACCAGGAGAGGTTCTGAGCCTCTGCAGTGGTTTGGACCTGACGGTCTGGTTCTTACTGCGAACGGCTCTGGAGCGCCTCAGGCCTCTCTGGTCGACACTCAGGCCGCCGTCGCTGCTGATCAGCAGGTTCTTCATGTTCTCGTGCTCCTCCTCCACACCAGGCTCCGCCTCCATCGCCACAGAGACCGGCGAGGGTCCATCCTGGAGAGGCACTGCCCCGGAGAACTTCTCCGTCTGAGGACAGAACCATCAGTTATCAGCATCAGAGATCACAGGAAAGATAAAACAGGCGGTAACAGAGCCGGCTGGATGGAGGCCACGCCCACTGGTAGCTACTGGTTAGTCACTGGTTAACTACTGGTCCACTGACCAGGGTATTAAAACACCAGAGGTCAGCTCATGCTCCGCTGGTGTCATTTTTCACCTCAACATAAAGACAGAACTCAGAAATGTCTGAAAAACCAGGAAACAACATGTTTCCAGATGTTAACGGTGGAACTCAGGTGGTCTCCTGCAGATGTTTAACTACCTCCATGTTCCAGCCTCTCAGACAGGTCCGTGTTTCATGTTTAATCTGCCTCCTCTCTGATTGTGTCTCTGGTGTTTTGTTTGTTTGTTTTCCATCATTTTGTGTCTTTTTAGGTTGTTTTGTGTCTTTATACTAACTTTGTTTCTCACTGATGTCACCTCGTGTCTGTTTGTGCTCATGTTGGTGTTTCTGCATAGACATGTGCAGAGAGGTCTGATGAACATGTTCAACACAGCAGATCGGTCTGAAGTGTCTCCAGCATCGCTGTGGTTGGTTTACCTCAGTGATCATCTTCCCTCGGGTCTTGGTTCTCTCTCTGTGAGCAGCTCGTTTGCGTTTTAGGGTCAGAACCCGTTCTCTGGTGGTCCGATACTCCAGAGAAAACTCACTGATGATCCGACAGAAACTGGTCACTTTGATGTCTCTGACGGAGGAGGACGGCTGGCCGAGGAACAGCAGGAAGGAGTGGAACCTGCAGCAGAACCAGAGAGCAGCGACTGGACCTCTATGCTGGTATAACAGTGTGGTGTTGTGTACCCGTCGTGTACCCATCGTGTACCCGTCGTGTACCCGTCGTGTACCCGTCGTGTACCCGTCGATGACCCGTTGTGTACCCGTTGATGACCCGTTGATGACCCGTCGCTGACCCGCTGTGTACCCGTCGTGTACCCGTCGTGTACCCGTCGTGTACCCGTCGTGTACCCGTCGTGTACCCATCGTGTACCCGCTGTGTACCCGTCGTGTACCCGTCGTGTACCTGTTGATGACCCGTTGTGTACCTGTTGATGACCCGGCGGTGCACCACCTTCAGGATGATGATCCTCTGGGTGCAGTCCTTCAGGAACTCCGTCAGCTTGTTCTTCAGAGCCGCCTTGGTCTCGTGCTTGGCCACCACCTTCAGATGGTCCCAGGATGCTTTGCAGCGGCGCTCCAGCTGGACCAGGTTCTCCGACAGCAGCTCGAAGTCCACCTGAAGAAGAAGAGCAGGGGTCAGGTTCTGAGGAGGAGCAGCTGGAACAGAACCCAACAGAATGGAGCAGAACGGTACTTTGGCGGATCGGGTGATGGCGGGGATCTCAGAGTAGATGTCCGAGGATTGTGGGTAATTCTCCACCAGCAGGCTGCAGGTGTGATGCAGCAGAGACTGACGGTGGACCGTGTCCTTCACCTCCACCACCTTCTCCAGGTAGCCCAGCTCGAAGCCCTTAGCCTGGACACACACACACACANACACACACACACACACACACTCGTGGATAAAAGCATCTGTTCGGGTCTCTGTTCGACATCATGCTTCTTTAAACCAATCAGACGGTTCTGCTGCTGGACCTGGAGCCTTGACCCGGTTCCTCAGAATCAGTCCAGTGGACCAGATTTGATTAGTGGAGCAGGAGACTCGGTCACGAGACACAAAACAGTCACAGAGACACACACAGAGTCCCGTCTGTCAGTCTTCTGCTGCTTCAGCTTCTCTTCATGAACAAACTGAGTTAAACTGAAGCAGAAACTTTCCATCAGCCGTTCACACAACACACAGCTGAACCTCCTACACACAGACGGACACACACCGACAACATTCAGCTGCTCAGCATGAAGCTACACACACACACACACACACACACACACACACACACACACTCTGCTGCTGAAAATAGTCGCCAGCAAACCCTCGATTTCTGCTAAACTACGGTGGGATGGTCTAGAAAACTAGAACAAAATCTAAACTAGACATTTATGAGCAGCAGCCAAAGACACCAGACACAAAACCACCACAACCAGACACAAAACCACCACAACCAGACACAAAATAGCCACAAAGACACACGAAACAACACACAGGTAAAAACCTGTAAAGTTCTGAGTCAACCTTCAGGTCCGTTTGTTCCTTTAACTTTAATTCATGTTTTTATATTTCATAGTTTTCCTTTCTTTGTCTTTTTCTGCTGTTTCTGTCAATCCTACTGTTCTAATAAATTCATGTTCCGTCCGTCCTGCTTTGGGTTTGTTATCATTTTGTTCTGCTCTACTTTAACGTTTTTTTAACCTTTGCCTGTAAAACACTGTAAAGATCCAGAACCGGACCGTCTTTAAGGTGGTTCAGATCCGGACCTGGTCTCAGTTGGTCCACAGGCCAAAAAATGAATTAAAAAAATGAATTTTATTTGCTGCATCTTCACAAACAGTGAAGTGTTTCAGAACCCTCCAGAACCAGAGCAGCGTTCAGGACCACCGGCCTCCTGTTTAAGGCTCAGGTCGGACCGGTCCACCGCTGTGGAGACGCGGGGGTGTTCACAGGTGGTCTGGTCCTGCTGCAGGAGGAATGGACTCATCCTGGAGCTGCTGATGTAGAACTCTGGCTTTCTGTAAGTGACACCGAGAGGCTCAGAGCGACCAGGTCTGGGTCTTCTGGGCTCCTCCTAAACAAAGTGAGTTATCCAGTGAAGGACGGAGCGACGTCCCTCCATCAGGAGGAACCTCATGTTTAACCTGCTTCACCTTTTGGTCTCTAATCACAAATAAGAACATGTGTCACAGAGACACAAGTCTGGTTCTGTCCAGCAAACCGTCCTAAAGTCCAGCAGTCAGAACCAGACCAGTAAAGTTCATCAACAACAAGAATAAGTTCCTGAAATCAGCCCACAAAACTCCAGAAGGGAAACCAGTGAAGTTCCAGTAAACAGACCAGTAAGGATTCAGTAAATAACCAGCAAGGATCCAGTGATCAGACCAGTCCAGTCCCGGTCTGATCACTGGTCCCGGTCTGACTGGTTACTGGTCTGGCTACTGGTCCCAGTCTGCCCGTGTCCCCGGGACTCACGGATCTTGGCCACGCTGGCCACCAGCAGCCAGATGGCGATGATGTAGGGGGTCTGGACGTAGCTCCACTCCCACTGGACCACCCGGTACCCGCCGCCGTGCTCCCGGTGCTCCCCGCCGTCCTCCTGCTCCGCAGGGCCGGCCGGCTCCTCTGCCGCGGACCGGGCCAAGGCGACACCGGGCGCCCCGTATTCCGCCCCGGGCTGCGGGAGGAGGAGCAGCGGCGGGGCGGAGGGAGAGGCGGGGACCGGCGGGGCGAAGCCGAGCCCCGGCCCCCGGAGCTGCGGAGCGCCCGTCCCGGACCGGTCGGCGGCGGCGGCGGCGGCGGCGGCGGCGGCCGTCAGCAGCAGCAGCAGCAGCAGCAGCGTCAGACGGAGCATCGTGTCCCGGAGCTCAGCGGGAGGACATCCCCGGATCAGCCGCTTTATAGGCGCCGAGGCACGGAGAGACGCAGCGGAGGAGGCCGGTCCACATCCAGCCTCCGGTAGCTGGAGGAGGAACCGGAGACATGTGACCGCCCAGATCCGTTAAAGAGACGGAGCCCTGCAGGTGACCGCTCACACCTGATCGGCTCTGACGTCAGCCACGATACCGGAGGACGTCACGGTCCGGGCACCGCCGGAGACCCCTGTGATGGATTACCCGAGTAATAGATTACTCCAGTACTCTGCTGTCATGAACACTGGAACCAAACAAACAGTTGAACTGGAACCGATCTTTGATTGACGGCTGTTGGACCGATCACCTCTGATCAATGACGTCAAAACACACACCTGTAGTTTAGTAATAGTTTTTTCTTTTCTCTTATATATATATGTGTGTGTGTGTGTGTGTGTGTGTGTGTGTGTGTGTGTCTATTGTTTGAAAGAAAAAAACAAAGAATCCGTTTGAAGGATGAAAAGCTGTGATTCTAAAATCAACATCCGAACAATTAAAAGCTTCATTTTGCTGATTTTATTGTAAATCTGCTGCTTCTTTTGGCTCCAGAACAGGAACGTTCAGGGAACCTCCAGTCAACGTTTGATGAACAGAAGAACCAGCTGCTGGTGTTCCGCTGGAACATCTCTGCTGCGGTTTCATTTGTTCTAGAACAAACAGCTGCTGAACGTTCCTCCAGCGTTTCTAACCATCATATTTACAGTTGAACACTTTAAACACAGAGAGATGGAACCACAATAACTGCACTTATTTACTCTTTAATCACTTTTTTAAAAGACAAGTTGATTAAGTTTCTACAAAAATTAATCTGCAGCAGTTCTGATCATTAAAAGTCAAAGAAACCTGCTGAACATTTTCTGTTCTTTGCAACACGCTCTCACATATGAAGGACAGTGAAAAGAATCCAGCAGTGAGACTGAAGTCTTTAAAAAGTGAAGCTTTGGACTTTGAAGAAGCTGCAGAACTTCTGATTTATAAGATGAACAACAATTAACGGGAGAAAACTCAAATTGTTTTATTCTTTATTAAAAATCTTTATTAATTTTAGCAGAAACACATTTAACCTTAAATTGAATATTGAATATTCCTATAGAATGTTTGTATTTAAGTTAAACCAAAACCTTTGTCAAAGTTTTTCACCTGAAGTCAGCAGAAGCAGAAAAATCCCCAGAACCAGGACAGAACCACCAGAACACACCAGAACACAGACTCTAAGACACTGTAGAGCCACGGTCAACCGGACAGGCGGATCTAGATCTACAGCCGCCGGCTTTAAAGCTGAAATGTTTTAGTTTCTAATTGAACATCAGCTGGATGTTCAGAGTCTCTGCAATGAATAAAGCCGGTTAGCGTAGCTTAGCATAAAGACTGGAAACAGGTGGAAACGGTTAGCGTGCCTCTGAGCAACCCAGCGGCAGCTTCCTGTATCGTCTCTCGTCATCCTACATCTGCTCAAGTGCTCAAACGAGTTCATTCCTCAAATCTTAATATTCTGTTTCTTACGTCTTCAGCAGGAACCACGAAGGTCAGAAAGCAGCGACAGACGAGTTCTGATCAGAGAACACAGAACAGGCGTTTATGGAGCTTCTTCAGCCTGAACATCTGTGGTTCTGCTAATTCTTTACTCTGGAACATGAAAACTCTTCACTTCAGGGACAGAAATCTGACAATCGTTTTCTCTTTAGCTGAACATTGTCTTTGTTGTCTTTGAGATCTGGATCGATCAGATGGATTGATCAGATCGATCCATCAATCAGCAGCTCTGCCTCAGACCTGATAAATGTCACAGAGGAGCAGAGGATCGGTGGGATCTGGACGACGCTCTGATGAAAGGGTGTGAAACAGAATCTGCTGCTGCTGCGGACGTCTCGGCTGTTCAGTCTCCGATCAATCGTTTGCTGATCGATCGGTGTGATCAGACTTTCTCTCCGGTCTTGTTGTTGAGTCCCAGAGCTTGAACCACATCGACGCTGAGGCCGCTCTTCAGAGTCCGTCGCACTGAAACAGCAGATAAACACATTCACCTGTTAGTGGATGCTGCAGAACGAGAAGGCAGAGGAAAGGTGCTGGAGCTGCTCAGAAATCAGCTGTTTGATGTCAATCACTGATCAGAAATCAGCTGTTTGATGTCAATCACTGATCAGAAATCAGCTGTTTGATGTCAATCACTGATCAGAAATCAGCTGTTTGACATACAGCCGTCCTCAGATGTATTCATCTCCTTCTATTACAGAAAAGGCAAAACTCACGACAGTCACTCAAACAATTAGAAACTCAAAAAAGTAATAATAAATACAAATTTGCTAAATTATAATTTAGTGAAATAAGATGTTGCATTTGAATTTTGGTTGAAAAGAATAATTTTAAAAAGAATACAAAACACAACAAAAACAAACACTGTCACGGACAAACTAGAGGCCTTTGCTGATGAGCAGCGGACCAATGAGAGGCCTTTGCTGATGAGCAG